GATTAATTTACGACCTTGTTAAGCTTAGCATGGTATTCAAAACGTTTGTTATGTACGGAACTTATATTATTTATTAATGAACTGTATCATTAAACCACGTTTTATTAGCCGTAAACTTCACACCATAATCTGCCAGAAAATTGTGAAACTCGTAATTCCTCAAATAAGTAAACGGTTTACGACTTACGAGCTTAAAAGCTTCCTAGCTTATTTATATAAAGTATTTTAGTATCCTGTTTCCACATACCAAAGTAATTTGACTCCAGGAATCTCCATTAACAAATAAAGCAAATTTAATAGAATGGTTATTTTGAACCTCACAAAGGTTTATTGGTCTGTACTTAAAATACTTAAGTTAAGTTAAGTGCTGCTTTTTGAATGTATCCTGTTGAGTCGTGAATTAATATTATCCTAAACCAATTCTTATTATATAATATGTAGTAACCAAATATATATCATAGTATATTATCATTGAATACCTTTACAAAAGCCACATCAACGTATACTGTCCTTGATGGCAAAACTAAAGACGTTACGGCTGATAGCGGCGTTGTCCCGAAGTGCCGAACGACCGCAGCTACCTCCGTCTAATGGAGAAGTTTACGACTTTGTTCGGAGTATCGTAAATAGTCACGGATCTCCACAACACCAACTAAATATACGGGAAATCGAATATCTTTAATCAAATGTGTTGCCATTTCTTCGTAAACTTTTATTTGCAGAACTTCTGTCGCAATCAAACTTTATCTCACTTTTCCCTACTTTAATTTAGTATAAAAATATTAAATTCAAATTACTTATTTTTGCTTGACAGCAATCTTTAAATTCCTTTATGCGTTTAAATAAGTGGATGTGAAAACATTTGTCTGTTTGACTATGTTTTACATCCCTTTCATTTGAAGTTTTTTAAACTAAGAAATATCGTTCGACAATTTTTGGTTTACGTAAAACTTGAATTGAAAAGTTCTTACTAAAATATATCCAATATACCTCCATCGGAACCACCAAAACAATATCATAAAAATATATTATGTAAGGTCATTGCCTTAGCCTTTTTGTACCTCAATTCTGGACCGACATTGAAACATAATATTTAAATAAAAATTATGTCTGGCAGGACTTTGTCGTTTCTGCATTCATTGTTTATTGGAAGAATCCTAATGAACTGCGCAGTTTACTGCGAAATTCATAGCCTTATAAGTTCATTCACTAATTATTTATCAATTGGAACGGTTACACACGGCTATTTTTAGCAGCACTGAACGCGATACAAGCGCGCGACTGCTTCGATACTAATGCGCGATTGCATCGTTACACTTGGGATTTATAGGCGATTGTATCGATGCAATAGCGCGATTCGCAAACGCGCGTTTACATCGCTGCTAAAAGTCGGCATGTGTCGGCCACTCTTAGACAATTTGTTATTATCGCGAATTCTTATTTAAATTATATGTCATATTTCACATGACTCTTTTAAACTTTGTGTCATATTTCGATGTGTTCTACATATAAGGGCCAAACTAACATTTTGGTAATTTTCATCTTTTTGTAGGAAATGATTCTTTCCATTATAAAATGGATACATTTGGGACCAATCGATTTAATGCCTAAATATAATGTAGTTCGACTAACTGACTTAATTAATGCTCTTCATTAGAACGTTTTAAAAAATTTATAATTACGTAATTTCATGTAATAAACAAGTAAAAACATCAGATATTTCTACATTGTTCTAAAAAGGTCATAAGTCAGGACAGCTATAACAAAAGACTCCTTAAAAGTATGTTTCTATTCAATCGATATATTTATGTTCATCAAAAATTGTGTACTGTACCCACGCTTTGCTTGCCTCTGGGGTTTTGTTAGTCGCATATATAGTAACAGACACCAAAGATTGAATATATATTCCAAAAAGTAAATATAATCGGAAATTCAAAATCAAAGAAATATAATTATCTAGTGAACAAAAAAGATTCCATATGACTATTATTCCAATGGTGAATGTCGCCTGTTCACATTTCCAATAACAACGAAATTAAAACATTGAAGAAGTTAGGAAAATAAAATTTTGGATGGGCTATTACAACAAATGGCTTGGTAAACAACACCTCAGTAAAGATTCTTTGGGAGCATCTACGACCGTGTTTGTTCTTCGGCGGCGTTCTATTATACGGTGCGTAAACAAATAATTTATAACTGTCCGCTTAATGGGTCTTCTTAACGCGATTTATTTCAAAATACAAAACAACACTACCTGCTGTATTCTACTAGTAATGGAAAATTATAAAAAATTAATCAAAGGTTAAACGGAAAATATAGGCCTGAAGAATAAAAATATCTTTACACAAACAAATCGACATTTGTAGAATATAGAGATATTTATAGAAGATATTTTATCAATCGCACGGCATTTTTTTAAAATTTATTTAATGCATTTTACAATGGTTTATTACGTACATGCAGCTGTAGCTCAAAAAGCACTAAGGGTTTATTCGTCCACAGCGATTCGCTCTAACAAGAATTTAACAATTTGAAGAAGTCAAAATCAAAGTCATAAGAAAAATAATTTATTCCATAAGTAAAATTTCGAAACTGACACTGGTCCAAGCCTAGTGGCCTCCATTAAGGAAATATAATAGAATAGGTACAATTTTTACATTTGAAAACGTCATTTTTTAAGCTACCGCTCGTTCACTACGCTGACCTCCCTGAGAAGATCGAGCAAGAAACTCTAGGGATTGCTCTTTTTAAATAAACTTAAATGCTATGGAATACACTTTGAATCATAATTGTGTGGAATCTAGACTCTTTCTTTCCATACATCTTTATCTAACACATACTCTTCAGTTTTGTAATGTGACTTTTCAATTAAAATACTTTTAATGGTAGTTTAAACTTAAGAAATTGTAATCTTAATATATTCTCCGGAATCTTATTGTAAAAACGTATACAGTTCCCCATAAAAGAATCGTTTACCTTAGTTAAACGAAATCGTGGTGCCATGAGTTTGGACTTACTTCTAAGGTTAACATTATGGATATTTTCGTTCTTAATGAAATTATGTATATTGTTACGGGAATACAACAAGAAATACAAGTGTTTTAAGAAACGATATAAAACAAATATTTATTTTATTTTATTACATTTATGTTTCGCAATTCATAAAAATAGACATTTGGTAAGGTGGTGGTGCCAGTGACCGACAAGCACGACTGTTCGATACTTTTTTAATTCATTTTTAATGTTACGTTTGTTTTTAATGTTATTGCCAAGTGTCAGACATTGGGTGTTCATTACTGGTGAGTGTCGATTACTGGTTAGTTAATTAGTGGATATTTGGAGTTCATTACTTGTGATTTCAAGAAAATCTAGTATAGGTGTTTTTAGTAATAATTATAATAGTTTTATTTATAAAACGTACTACAGCATAATCGTTCTTGACGATTATATCCATCAAGTAAACTAATTACTATTGATCTATGCTTAAAAACAAAACAGTTGTCCCAAATTTAAAGATGCACTTCCCTTAAAATATCGATCATTGGTACCATGACACCAGTTCTGCAAAAAAATACAAAATTGCGAAATATAAAGAATGTTATAAAGGATAAAAGGGTCTCATAATACTTGGGTTATGCAAATATCCAGCACTCTGAATAATTTTCGTTAGAAATATTTTTTTACGGCTTTTCATACATTTTGTATCACAGCGATGTCGATATTTTTTATTGCTGATGCAAAGTTGCTCAATGTCACAGACAAGTGTCTGTGACATTAAGCAACTTTAGACGTGGAAGTCTACGTCTGTTTTAGAACCGTGTACGTTTATGCATAAATGCGTACCACTTATGTATGTAAATATAATAAGTATAATTAGTCAACGTTGATGTTGACGCAGTGAAGACATTTCGCCATCGACTTTTAGCAAAACGTAAAAGTTTTACAATAAAAGGAATTAGCTGTGGTGCTCCGAACCCGCTTCTTGGCTTTCAAAACAAAACTTTTGCTCTAATCTTATTTTTAGTTAAAAAAATCTTTTTGTGTGCAATGATGCAGGTGTTAGCTAGATTAGGTATTAGTTTTCTATACGGGGTAACAAATGCCAATAAGTTTTATTACGAAGCACTCGCTAGTTTACAGCAAGTGCCAACTACCGACTACCAAGACTTGAGCCTCGATTTTATCTGATTTTTGCTTTTATTATGATTCTGTGTTGTTTTTCAATAATTTTTTATTTTGAATTTAAAAGCAGAAAGAATATCCTAGACATTCTAAAACTAGCGAGCTATCTCTCTGTTCGCCGTTCTCTGAGTAACCACTCTTGTTGTACTTATTTGCTGAAAAATAAATGTATTGACCTCTATACCGAATATATTATGTTTCAATATATTTACTGTATTCGATTTTATTCCTTTCTATTAACTTTATTTGTTATTTGCGGACATTCGAGTCGCACAAAGAAACAGACTCCTACTGAAACATTTACCTCATTAACTTTGATAAATTTATATAGAATACAAGCTACAACAGGTTATAGGAAATAATTAAAATGAGCCTCTTATTTTCTTTCTTGTTTTATTTTATTCGCTCGGAAATAAGATTTTGCAAGAACTTTAATTATTACAAACATTATAAGAGACATAACAATATGCCAGCCCACATGAAAATTAATAGATTTCCTAAAAAGCAAATTTTTGCTCTCAATGTACACAATAGAAGTTTCCGAATTTTCCGATATTTTCTTGACTTCCAATTACAATAACAATTTAATGGGAAAGGGACCGTGGGGAGCATTTGAGACACTTGAGAGGAAACTTAGTAATTAGTAGATGAACTTTCTGTAATCTTTTCAATCTGCGCAACATTGCCTTAATTAAATTGTATGCCTATATACGATGTATGTATATATACTTTAACTCAGAGATGTTATTGTTACAGGAACATTAACGAACAATCGTCAAAGAAAAAAAAACCCATACGAGTAGAAAGCAGAAGTGCCCAGAAAAGAAATCGCCGAATCTTCAATCGGAAGTTGAATAATGTGGGCGGGCATGTGCCCGACGGGTGCGCGTGCGCGGCTGTGTACTTAGCGGGAAATGCGCGTGTGGTGGGGGGCGCAGGCGGCGCTCAACATGCGTGTGTGGGTGGCCACCGTGATCGCGGCGCTGGCGCTGCGCTCGGCGGCCGAGCCCGCGTCGCGTCGGCACCCGGCCGAGTGGCACACCCGCGACCTGACGCACTCCCGCCCTCTCCACGAGCTGTTCGAGCCCGACGGCCCTGAGGCTCCCGTCGCGTTCGCGCCGCCGTCGCCGGCGCTCCAACCTTCTGCACTGCGCAAGGAGCGCCGACGTGCAAAAAACTTTAACAAACGCACGCCCCGCCTCCCTTCGGAGATCGCGAGCCAAATGATGTTAAGAGCATCGCGCTCTAGTCGACCCTACGATGTGCCCCAAATAGGTAAGTAGCCTATATGCTTTAAATCATGTACGTGAATAAACATTTCAAATATCGTCAGAATGATTGTAATAGTCATTTTGAAATAAAAAAAGACAATCCTCTCTTCATTATGTAATAATAGACAAGTAAACTCGTTTATTTAAGCTTATTGCCAACGAACTAACTTAGAGCTCACGTCGGGCTTAGCAGTGGCCCTTGTGGCGCGCTGTGACTGTGACGGCTATGTGCTGTTGACACGACATCAACACCTCATCGCCCGACTCGTCTACTAAGTAAGGCGAATAATTAATTGCTATGGTGTGCAATGTGCACCTTAGATTCTAGCTGAACTTATTAGATTCTTCGACCATGTCATTAATTTATTATATTTTGTTTGAATATTAAAAGTCTAATATTATAAATATAACAAATCCGTAAACAGCGAAGGACGGTAAAGGGTGCTTACAAACTGCGATCACTCGTTATTGGAACTGGCACCCTACCGGGCGGAAAAAGAAAAAATCGTCAATGTTACGCTCACAACGACCTAAAAATACCCCAACAATGGCTTCGGCCATCCTCTGTGGTCCGGTAACGGTTCTGTATAACAATGATGAATATTCGCTCACGCAATTTAATCCAAAAAGAGTGCACGTTGCTGAACACTTTAAAAGTATGACGTAATTATTAATCACATATAAAAGCTACGAAAAGCATTCTACGACAAAAAATGTGGTGTATATCTGTTTATGCTACGTGCCGCACATTGCTGTAGCACTGCGCACTGCTGCCAACAATTGAATAATAATCACTACATACACGGCAAAGGAATGGAATGCACTGCCGAGATCCAGGTTTCCCGAAAGCTACAATTTAGAGCTATTCAAGACTAGAGAGAATAGGAATAGATTTACTTATTAGACAAACGCGTAACACCGTCGGCCACTCCGTCGCTTAACATCATGTTAGGTAGGTCAGATTGTGGTCAAGCCTTCCACCATTATGTACTTATATATAAGGTATTTAATTCGGTTTCACCTTCTTGTAAACCTTATTTGTCATATTAGTATGGAAATGCTTTTGGAACCCTTAGCCTCGTTTAATTTATCTCAATATGGAAAATCGGTCAAGTGTGATCAAATCAAGAGAAGCGCTCTGACCTGAGCCCGAATAGCACTCGTTGAACATTCTTTTGGGAAGATTTTAAACCGACTTTCAAAAGAAGGAGGACGTTCTCAATTTGACTGCATTTTTTTTTACGTATTTTAAGCGATAACTCCGTCATTTCTGAACCGATTTTGATGATTCTTTTTTTGTTAGTCTTTCTAAGGGTACCTTCTCATTTGAATTTGAAGAAAAAATATTTAACCTCTAAGCGTGGTAAACTAGAGCATGAATCCGGTTTCGCGCACTTTCCCGTACCTGATTTCAATAAAACTTGGCAAATAGATGTAATTCCACGAACTTTTGAGGTCGGTTTTTTTAGTACTTTGTGCTGAGATTATAAATTTACATTAAACATACAAAAATAACGTCAAAACTTTAGTGTCTGCAAAAGTCGAAATAAAATCAGTTGTAGGCTCATCATTATCATCAAGTCGTGGTACCCTAATGGTTTGACCTACTGCCTCTCAAGCAGAGGGTCGTGGGTTCGAATCGGGGCTTACAACTCTGAATTTCTCGGAATTATATGCGAAATTTAATTTGAAATTTGTCATGAGCTTTTCAGTAAAGAAAAACATTATGATGAAACCGGCACGTCGTATTATTCTCACTCCTTTACTGTTTACGCGGTCAGACTTTGGAACGCATTTCCCTTTACTGTTCATGGTAGTAAATCCTTAGCTGTCTTTAAAATGAGAATCAAGGTGCATTATTTATCCTTTGTTCCATCCATTTTATAGATATTATAATATAAAATGTGTATTTATCTAAGTATTTATATAGTCTGTTGTAATTTAATGTTTTTGCTATTGTTTTTTTATAATTATTTTACAATATTATTGAACTTTATTTTGTCGTGCACGTAAATCCGTTATTGGAATTATTGTGTCCTGTATTTTGGTCTTTAGGAAGAAATACGTTTTAGAAATAAGCAGTGCCTTTTGTTTGTGTTTGCCGCTTTACTAAATGTGATTTGTGTTTTCCTGTGCAATAAATAATTAAATAAACAAAATATTCCACTGCTTAAACAGGAACTAAAACATTACAAACCCGAACTTTAAGGTTGCGGTCAAGTGACCCATCACAATGATCGGAGGAATTATATACCTCTAGCATTGACTAAAAATATAATCAATTTCATGAAATTTGTTATTTGGCGACAGTGAGAATTTATAAAAGTAGACCAAGGCCAGTAAAAGGAAGCTAAAACAATGTTTATCAATAATAAAAATAAGAAGAATAAAAACAACAACAACATTAAAACAGAGAAACTGGAAGAGTTGCACGTCGTTTTATTATAGTTCATTAAATCCAATATATATATATATATATATATATATTAACATAATCTAATTTATTTTCTTCTTGTTGGATTAAATAGATACATAAATTGTTATTATTGTTAAAACATAATCGTAATGTGGCGTGTAGCACTATATTTTTTTTATGATTCAATGTGACAGGACGAACAAGTCGTACGCCTAGTAGTAAACGACACGCCTCTCCATAACAGTTGCAGTGCGCTCTGAGCTTTAAATCGCAAAGATCTAAGGGGCACTGGCACTGCACCCATCACCCTGAGTCATAAGTTGAAAAGTCCCATGAGCATGAAATTGCAGACGTATAGGACTAGTCAACTTCTTTCTCACGATGGCGTATTGTAAATTGCAAATATTGAAAAAAAATAAAACAATTCGCATAGGTGTAAATCGCCGTATTTGTATTTTTAATAAACATAAAGAAAATAAACAAGTATTGTAAAATTTCCATTGAGTAACGGTTGAAAAGATGTACAAAAGGGGCACTAATATATATAAATATATATAAATAACGACTTCGAATGAATGTAATCTAAAATTCGAATCTAAAGTGAGTCACATCAGCTAATGCAGTAGAGTTCCTGGTAAAAGAGTTCGTCCAGGGAAGTACTGCCACCTTACCTATTTCTGCCGCAAGCCACCTCACCTATCTCTGGGTGACAGGCGCAGTGGCAGTGCCCCTCAGATGTTTAGAAACTAATATTGTTGATTGATTAAATTCTATACTTGTCACAAACCGATAGTATAATGGCCTACTAAGGCATTGGTCCTCTCTTCATTTGAGTTTGCTTATTAACATAGTTATTTAATATGTAATTGTAATACTAACACTTTTATGAATCTATTGTTGTCGGAAATAAACGCATTTTATTTTATTTTTTTATTTTTATTTAAAATTTGCAAATTGCTAATTTTGCTATCATGAAACAAAAGCTTTATACAAAAGGTTATTATACTGTTTCTGCTGACTTGGACGACTAAAATCCACGCTAGTGCTCCGTTACGCTCTTTTTAATTATGGTAGAAGATAAATAATGTAAACGATAAATGTGAACAAATGTATATTCATAAAGATTAATCGCTAGAGTTTCTTAATCATACTTCTCGAGGGAATCTGCCACACGAACGAACAAATAGTGCTAAATCAATTTGACAATTTGAAGTGTAATTTCCTTGCGTATAAAATATTAAGAATTTTTGAACTAGCTAAGGCAATGTACGCCATCACATCAAGCTACACATTGACATATCTTGTTCCGTTGCACTGGAGGCGATTTTCGAACAAAAATGTATAGTCTGATCTGCGGTTTTCCGTATATAACTAAGATTGCTTGTTAGAAATTTTTAACGTACTATATATACAACAAAATAAAGTTCCCACGGCCTGGGCCATGTCTGCCCTTATTACTCTCTCTTACATTAAATATGATAAAACTTGACAGTGACTACCAAACCATATCTGAGAACAACCACTTTTAAAATTCTTCTCAAAATAATTCACAAAAGGATTTCACATCTATGCGAGATACGAACACCTGTACTCGAAAAATCAATTTTCTGTTACGAAACGGTTTGAGAATAAGGTTATAACGGTTTGACAATTCTTGGTTATCAAGTACTGGTCTCTGCTGGAACATGAACTGACCTTCAAGTCTGTTTCATTGGCTACAGGAAAGCTCGCTAAAGAAAGTCAATAACATTATTGTAGAAGGCTGGTTTAGACTACAAAGATATTCAATTTCTCTATTGGCAGACACTGACACATCCTGCCAGGGGATTGGAGGCCTGTTGGAAAGGGAAATCAAAAATCATTTTACGTAAAACTAGTGCGAAGTCTAAAACAAGACTGACACTGAAACAAGACTCTTATATAAGCACTAGATGATATACCAGACAGACGTAAACAAGAATGATTATGATTTGTACAACATTAGACATGTATTAAATAATCGGAAATAGTCTTAAGAGTTTACATAAATTGGTAGATATTATTCAATCTGGAACATGTTCGCTACCAACATTTGTACCCAATCAACATTATCTGTAAAAACAAAGTATCTGACTAAATGCCGAGAACGAGTTAATATATAAATACTCAACTTGACCTCGTATCTTAGAGCGGTTACACACATCGACTTTCAGCAGCGCATCTGCAGCGATTCAGTCGCGGTGCAGTAGCGATGCAGTCCGTAACCGTCTAACTTTACACACACTCGCGACTTAAGCAGCGGTACAATCGTCATGCAAACGCGATACATGTTTTTAATAATTCAACATAAGCGACTGCATCGATACAGTCGTGCGTTTGCATCACCAATCAACCAACATCCTGTAAATCGCAAGTGTCACGATGCAATTGCACGCCTAACAAACGCGCGTTTGTATCGTTGCTAAATCTGCTGCTCTTTATAGCGACCCTTTACAATCAGTTCAGAAATACCGTTGCTTAGGAAGCAAGGTTGATGAATATAACGATCACAGTCTTGAGATAAAGTACAAAGTTGAGCGAGAAACGACTTTTCTATAATAAAAAAGTTT